GTTATTTTTCACTCTGGGCAAAAGGTTAGACACCACATAAGCAAGGAAGCTCCTGAGCGAGTGAAAGCAGTCAGCCTAAGGACAAAGAAGATTATGTTGGGGTATTTCCTTAGCTAAAAAAACATCACTTGGCATATGAGGAGCAGAAGAAACATCTGCTATTCTTCTTCAGAACAACCATGGAATAAGTGGTTTCTCCCAAATGATCTCTGGTTGAGGAAACCAATTTTCCCCCCCAGGTATGGAGCCTTTGAGGGTGGCTCCAGCAAGAGTTGCGGCTGACAAGAAGAAAATGAGAATCCCCCACTCAGCACTTGTGAATACCAAAAGAAAGCAGGTGAGTAGCTACTATGATCATGTTGCTTAGCAGAAAATACTGGTCTTCTGACATAGTTTTAACTGTTCGCCATCACACTCTCCTCTTCATTTCCAAGAACTTAATTGCCACTTGTACATGGTGTGGGTTGAAAAGATAAGTTCTCGCCTTGTTTTCTTCCACCACTAGATAGCTGAAGACGTGTGAAAAACAAATCTTTTGGAGTAATTTCTCCCAAGCACAAAAATAGGACTAGGTTCAAGGCAGCTGTGAGAAAATGACTTGTTCATAGCTATTTCTTCCCAACGGGAGAAATCTTGAAAAAAAGCTTCAAATGAAACTCTGAATCAAATCTGTCATTGGACATAATTGGGCACTGCCAATGTTGTATCTCAGTCCAGAGGTGTCCATCAGTATGTGAAGACTCCTAGATATCTCCTAGTTATATCATCAATGGTGCGTCACACTTGCTCTTAGTGAGAAGAAAGGAGATGAAGAACAGGAGTCTTGGTCTACTTTGGCCACTCTGGAAGTAGCATGGATTGGGGCAGGAGAATGAGTAAGGAGACATATACCATAAAGAGTAGCAGCTAAGATGAGGTTGTACTGACACCTGATTGACCAACAGCCTCGTACTCTACAGTAGTGGCCAAAATTGTGGAAACCTTTTGGGGAAAATGTATTTTTGAGGTTTGATGGCTAATAACACCACTTTTTTTTTTTTTTGATTTCAAGATAATCATATTCCACTGCTGGAATGGCCTGGGAATAGCCCAGACCTTAACCCAATTGAAAATCTATGGAGCCAACTAAAGAAACTTGTTAGTCAGAAGCGACCCAGCAATAAAACCCAGTTAATAGAAGCCATCATTCAATCTTGGTTTCACATTATAACAGCTACAGAACTAAAAGACTTGGTTCACTCCATGGGAAGACGTTGTAAGGCCGTCATTCATGCTAAAGGTTACCCAACTATTAACTGACATGATAATAGTGATAATTGATGATTGGTGATAATTCTTGTATATCTTGTTTTTTTCTAGGGTGGTAATTTTTGTATATCTCGTTTTTTTTCTACGTGTTTCACTTTTCATCTTTATATTGTAACTGCTATTCTAATAGCAAATCCTTCATTAACGTTATTGCATTACATTCTTGATTAAATGATCTTTCCATTGATATATAATTTTATGGTACTACTATGCCAAAAAAAAAGTGGTGTTATTAGCTAGTTTTAGAAAATACTTTTCCCAAAAGGTTTCCAAAATTTTGGCCACTACTGTAATCTATCCTTTGCCGGTTTCACACCAAATAAAAAGGTTTAATTTATTTACTTAATCTCAGCCGCTTGGTAGGACAAAATCCTTCCAGGTTTAATAAGTTGGTGAACAGGAAAGAGCAGCCTTGTCCCATATGGCATTTAAACAATTGTGAGAATTTACATCGCAAGATCAGCTCACTACACCTAATAGAGTCAATAAAAAATGTTTAGCCATTCTATTTGCACAACATGCTAAACTGGGTTAGTTTTTTTTTTACCTTAGTTGTTTTGGTTTCTGAGAGAGTGTTTTTGTTTTTCTGTTTTTATTTTTGCTAGCGTCGCTGGTTGGGCAAACCAAACCTGTTTAGTTAGTTATGTTTCAAGGTATTATTACGCATCTAGAAAATGGAATCAATTAAAGGGTGTTTGGGAAGGCAGTTATGATTTTGGGGTGCAAAAGCAGAGAAGCAACCCTGTTTTGAGAAGGAGGAGAATTCTTAAAAGGTGAAACTGCAAATGTAGACTAATCAAAGTGTAGATCCATCTGTAGCCAGCATAAAATAAAGGTAAAGGTTTCCCTCGCACATATGTGCTAGCCGTTCCCAACTCTAGGGGGCGGTGTTCATCTCTGTTTCAAAGCCAAAGAGCCATGATGTCTGAAGATGTCTCCATGGTCATGTGGCAGGCATGACTAAATGCCAAAGGCACACAGAACGCTGTTACCTTCCCACCAAAATGGTACCTATTTTTCTACTTGCATTTTTTACCTGCTTTCGAACTGCTAGGTTGGCAGAAGCTGGGACAAGTAACGGGAGCTCACCCCGTTACGTGGCACTAGGGATTCGAACCGCTGAACTGCCGACCTTTCGATCAACAAGCTCAGCATCTTAGTCACTGAGCCACCGCGTCCCTTAGCATAAAATAGATATAGCCTATTTCTTATCTCCATCTGCCTCTTTTCTCTAAACAGTGAAATGTTTCAGATATACAGCCCCTTCCCAAGTTTGGAAGGAGGACCCTGGAAGATTATTCACATTTTGCAATGTTGGTTTTTATTTACAGCCAGCAAAAGTTTGCATCTCTGACATCCGATTTCTATGTACATCTGATTTCCGTGGAGAAAATGAGAAACCTAGGTTCTTTGCAGGTCCCAACTCAACTTTTGGGCTGCTTCACAACACAGCCAACCAAGAGTCGGTGAGTTTGGCTTTATTTTGTATTTATTGAAAAAGTTTTACAATTACATTTTCTCCCCAATTTCCCCCCCAAACCCTCCCTGACCTCCCTAACCCTCCCTAACCCTCCCCTCCCCCCCAGACTTCCACAAAATATAATCCAAATCAAAATCCCCTTTTTATAAAACTTGAACCCCTCCACCCCCTGTATATTTTTCACATCTTCACAAAATTCTATTATTCTATCCCTATTTATACTTTCAGTTAAAAGCTATCTGATATTTCCTAGTTTGATATTTATTCTGCACATAATCTATCCACTTTTTCCACTCCCATACATAAGTCTCTTGTGAGCGATCTTTTAAATATGCTGAAATCTTCGCCATCTCTGCAAAACTGGCCATCTTCAAAGTCCATTCTTCAATAGTAGGCATAGCTTCATTTTTCCAATATTGACCTATCAGTAATCTCGCTGCTGTTATCATAAACAATATCAACTTTGTTTCACCCAATGTGAAACCCTTAACTATACCCAATAAAAACAATTGTGGAGAAAACTGAATTTTTTTCTTCAAAACATTCTGCATAACCCACCAAATTTTTATCCAAAAAGCCTTCACTTTCTTACAAGTCCACCACACATGATAATATGTGGCATCTAAGCAATCACATCTCCAGCATTTTGGTTGAACATTAGGGTACATGCACGACAATTTCTTAGGATCTAAATGCCATCTATAAAACATTTTATAAAAATTTTCCCTCAAATTCTTTAAATTTTTTGAATTTAAAAGATTTGGATACTGCTTCCCATGTCATCTCTGGGAACAGTTTACCATTAAATCAATCCAATAGACCAGAGGTGCTATTCAGCAGGTTCTGACAACTTCTGGAGAACTGGTAACGGAAATTTTGAGTAGTTCAGATAACCGGCAAATACCACCTCTGGCTGCCCCCAGAGTGGGGTGGGAATGGGGATTTTGCAGTATCATTCCCCTGAAGTGGGGTGGGAATGGAAATTTTGCAGTATCCTTCATCTGCCCCACCCACCAAGCCACACCCACAGAGCCACACCCACAGAACCGGTAGTAAAAAAAATTGAATTCCACCACTGCAATAGACCAATAGATCACATACGCAGGAATGGTATATAACATATTTTTAATAGTAATTTTATTATAAATCACACAATAAAAAAATACCAACTAAAAAAAATAGAAGGTGGCAAATAAATAGAAAAGAATGAATAAGTATATTGTAAAGGAAAAGAAAATATATAAAGAAGTGACTACCCCTTCATCACAATCAAGTACCATATTTTTCGGAGTATAAGACGCACCTTTCCGCCCACAAAAAGGAGGGTGAAAATCTGGGTGCATCTTATACTCCGAATGTAGCCCCGCCCAGCTTCTCAAACGGAGGTTTCAGAGGCTGAAAAAAGCATCTGAAATGAAGCTTCAGAAAAAAAAGCCCCCAAACAGAGCTTCAGAGGCTTTTTTTCTGAAGCTCCATTTTGGAGGCTTTCAGAGGCAGGAAAAAAAGCAAAAAAAAGCAAGGCACAGAGCTCACAACCAAGAAACCTATTGCTAAAATTCACCTCTGGGAACAGCTGATTGGGGGTATTCCGGGAGGCCCATCCACCTGCCAATCAGCTTTTTTCTTATTTTCCTCCCCAAAAACTAAGGTGTGTCTTATACTCCGGTGCATCTTATACTCCGAAAAATACGGTATAAACAATTTTAGTAACTGATCACAACATTTCCTTAAAACAAAACAATCTCTTTTTCCTTTATTTCATCTCTTATTTATAAACAAATCCTTAGAACGTCATCATTTCAGCCCTGATCAGCAAAAGTCCATTAAGGGTTACTAGAGATAACAACCTATTTAATTCTGACGAGAGAAAGACCTTGTATTTCTTCCTTTTACTTTTAACCAATTTGATCTTTTGCCCCTTCAAATAATCTCCTGGAACTTGATTTCATTTTTTTTCTTTGTGCCTTGCGACAAAATTCTTCAAAGTTTTGTCTGGTGTTCCACGGATGTTTTGGACAAACAGTACCCATCATCCTGTTTCAAGAATGATGGAAGTTGTAGCCTATCATATTTAGAGAGCACCAAGTTGCAAATGGCTGTGTTAATAGAACTTAACCATTAGATATGTTTTGTATGGGATATTTTTCTTACTGTTCCACGTACACTATTGGCAGGGCGCTGGCCCCGTTGGGGTCTGTGAAGGGCAGGTCACTTGGGCTGGCGGAGGCGCGTGGAAAGTCTGGAACTCCTCGAGGCCTTTGGGACAGATCAGGTTGTCCAAGACTTTGCTCCCCAGGAAGGGCTCCGTCGTGGAGAGCTGCATGCCCAGACCAGGTGCTTTGCTTCAGGCCTTGAGAACCAGTAGGAGGCAGAGGGAGAGAAACAGATTAAGGCTGAGAGAAGCAGTAGGAGGCGGAGGGTGAGAGAAATGGGAGGCTTTGGAGACGAGCATCCTTCCCAGACCCTCTTCCCCAAGGGGTCACCCAGCCGCACTTACCTTTGCCTCGAGGCTTCTGCTGCTGGAGCGGGCGGGAGCAGCAGAAGGCAGCTGGCGAGTCTAGTCTAGTCTAATTGAGTGAGGAGGAGTGGAGATCAGTGAAGGAAGGCAGTAGTGGCAGTAGAGTTGGGCTGCGGCCGCCGCAAGGTAGGCAACGATGGAAGGCACGGCCACGTGGGAGGCAGCTAGATAGGGATTCGGGCCTTGCTCACAGGCTCACCCAGGCAAATCAGGGCCATTCAGCTGGGCTGCGGGGAGAGTGCTGCGTGGGATGCAGCTGCGGCAGCAAAGGATAGTCGAGGCAAGCAAGGGAGCCAGACAGAGAGCAGCAGCAGCTATGCCGGGCGAGCAGGCAAGATGAGGAGTGACTGGGCAGGGCAGGGCAGGGTAGGCGGGGCAGGGCCAGCCAGTGGTGGGATTTGTTGGTTCGCCGAACTGCGCAGAATCTTAACCAGTTCGCCTGAACCGGTCTAAACCTGCAGCCCACCTCTGCATCCGTGTAAGCAACAGCTCAAAGTAACATGGCTTATTCAAAGCTCCGCTGCACACAAACCATGATCTATAAACTGCAGCAGTAAAGGTCCTGCAACATAACACACCAAAGGCAGACTATATTATTAACACAACCTTGCAAATTTATTCAGAAATAATTCTGACTGAGCTTAGATGCTTACTCTGAAATATGTAGATTTAGAGTAAAGGCAGTTGAAGTTTAAAATATCTTGCAGAGAAGGAATGAAATCCAAAAGTAGATTTGAGGGAAACCAAGCTTGTAAGCTGCTTGATTGTCATGTTTGCTCAAAACAAGTCAGGGAAGACCGAAGGGTAAGATTGGGAGCTTGATGCCACAAAATAATTGAGGACAAAGAACAAAGTTTGCAGAAGCTCAGTATTTCAGAAGCTGAAATTCTTACTTCCGGTGGTTGCCTTGTGACTGGAGAAAAAAGCCAAGTCATGTTTACTTCAGTATATGAGGACATGTTTATTCTATACTAGTAGCTGGATACCCGTGCTTTGCTATGAAACTGATCGGGTTTGATAAATTGACAGTTAAAGCTTGAACATTAATGAGTAGTTATGATCGGCCTCTCCTCTCCCCTTCTCTCCCTCAGGCTTGCCCCACAGAGGCCTCTCCTATCTTATCCCCTTCTCTTCCTCAGACTTGCCCCACAGCGGCCTCTCCTATCTTATCCCCTTCTCTTCCTCAGGCTTGCCCCACAGAGGCCTCTCCTATCTTATCCTCTTCTCTCCCTTTCAGGTGGGGAAGGGGAGTAAAATGTCTAAACTCCCAGCCCACAGGCTGGATGAGTCACGTGCTGGCCATGCCCATGCCCAAGTAGCAGTTGGAACAGAGTTCTTTTCAGGTGGGGAGGGGGAGTAGAATGTTTAACTCCATAGCATCAGAGCGTGTTAATAATAATATAAGAAATACTAATGATCTGATGGTTATTACAAAAAATCCTTTCTTAGCGAGCACCTAGAAGCCAAGAGGAACATACGTGCCAAATTTCAAGTTTGTAGGTTTTACGGTTCTGGAGATTTCTTGATGATGTGTGAGTGGTATTTCGCTTTTATATATGTATAGATTCTGGGGTACAATAGTTTAACCGAAACATATTCTAGAACAGTGATGGCTAAACTTTTTGCCATCGTGTGCCAAAAGCGGGGGTAGTGGGGGGGGGAATGCACGCGCGTGTGCCCACACCCATAATTCAATATGCCCCATCCCTCCACGCATTCGCGTGTGACCCCCCCCACTCTCCTCTCTCTTTTGGCATGCAATGGCCTGGTGGGCCCATTTTTTTGCCCTCCCCGGGCTCCAGAGCCTTTCTAGGAGCCTGGGGAGGGCAAAAACAGCCTTCCCCACTCCCCTGGAGGCTCTCTGGCAGCCTGGAAACAGCCCATTTCCTGAGTTCCAGTGGGCCCGGAGGGCCCGAAAATCAGCTGGCCAGCGCACACATGTGTGCTGGACTGAGGTAGGGCAATGTTCACGTGCCCACAGATATGGCTCCATGTGCCATCTGTGGCACCCGTGCCATAGGTTCGCCATCACGGTTCTAGAATATTTAAAATAGGTGAGTTGATTGAAGCCACATTGGAAATAACACTGGTGGGTTTCATGTTTAAGTCGAAATCCTTTAAAGCAGGGGTCCCCATCCCCTGGGCCACAGCCCACTACTAGGTCGTGGCCTATTCAGAAATGGGGTGCACAAGTTGTGACTAGCATGCATGTGTGCGTGCAGCTCGAATTGTGTGAGTGGCAGGCTGGCAGGCATGCACATGTGCACACAGCTCAATTTGCACAAGTCGAGCTGCGAACGCATGGGCATGCCAGCCCGCGGCTCGTGCGGCCGGTTCCCCTTGCCCCACAGTCAGGCCACCAAGCCGCAAAAGTTGGACGCTGCTGCTTTAAAGAAAAATTTGGACTGTGTTGCACTTACATGCCTACTCAGTTATCTTAATCAAGGCTTATTCAATGTTCTAAGTTTGTCTGACACACAGAACAATAATCACACAACTGACAGTCACAAAAAATAAGCGGATAAAATGTTTGTTTATGATTCAGTATAGGTAGCCCTCAAACTTGCAAACCATGGGTGTAGTGACTGTTTGAAGATACAACGGCCCGGAAAAAAGCGACTTGCAACCGGTCTTCATGCTTACAACCGTCACAAAATCCCCATGGTCCCATGATCAAAATTTGGCTTGGCGTGTACTTATGACGGTTGCAGGGTATCAGAGTCATGGGGCTGCCCTTTGTGAGTTTCCCAGCCAGCTTTGACAGCAAAGTCAATGGGGAAAGCCAGATTCCCTTAGCAACTGCATGATTTCCTTAATTGCAACAATCTGTTTCAACCATGGCAAAATAAAATAAAATAAAATAATAAAATAAAATAAAATAAAATAGATAAATAAAATAAAATAAAATAATGAAATGAAATGAAATGAAATAAAAATTGGGTATGTCTACTCTAAGGAAAAGAAGGACTAGCGATGACATGATAGCAGTGTTCCAATATCTCAGGGGAAGAAGAGGGAATCCAGCTATTCTCCAAAGCACCTTCAGGGCAGGACAAGAAGCAACGGATGGAAACTAATCAAGGAGAGAAGCAACCTAGAACTAAGGAGAAACTTCCTGACAGTTAGAACAATTAATCAGTGGAACAACTTGCCTCCAGAAGTTGTGAATGCTCCAACACTGGACGTTTTTAAGATGTTGGATAACCATTTGTCTGGTGTAGGGTTTTCTGCCTGAGCACAGGGTTAGACTAGAAGACCTCCAAGGTCCCTTCCAACTCTGTTATTCTATTCTATTCTATTCTATTCTATTCTATTCTATTCTATTCTAATTCTATTCTATTCTATTCCTATTCCTATTCCTATTATTTCTACTCTACTCTACTCCTAATTCTATTCCCTCTCCTCTCCTCATTCTATTCTATTCCATATCATGTTGCACTGTGTTCTATTCATCTATGACTTACTTAACAACTACCCTGCTTAGTAACAGAAACTCTGGTCCCCAATGCTGGTTGTAAATGGAGGACCCCCAGTATGTGATATGAACACAGCTTGAACTGAGATTCAACCCCTTCAGTGGGATGTTTCATACTTCCCTAATCTATAACTTGTTAACCACAATTTGAACAAACCACTGTGCTAAGCCTATCTGTGGTTTATAAGGGCTACCATGGCTGAACCAAGTCTTCCACTGAGGCTTAGCATGATATCTGAACCCCATTGCTCTTCAGATGCCCTATGAGAGATTGTTGGGAGTTGAACTTCACAAATTTCTTCTCTTTTTATTACTTTCTTACTTCAGACTGAAAAGTAGGCTCTGAAGGTATGGGAGATCTTTAGGGATAACAATATGATATGCCTCAATCTGTTACGCTATCTTCACAAGTCACACAATGATAAATATAATATGCCTTTCCTCCCTGACCACACACTTGATCTGTGGTTTCCTTAGTGATGAGCCATTTGCAACTGCTGCATTGTTTTGTTTCTCAACAGTTCTAAAGTAATTTTCCACTTCCTGGGTTGCAAATACAAGAAAGTCAAAAATAGATAAATTTTATTTGAAAGTCAAAAACGGTGGTTAGAGTACAGCAAATAGAAGAGCATGCTGAAAGGTTCTTAGCCTCCAGCTCTTTCTATCTCTGGACAGCTTTTATTTATTCATTCAATTTGTATGGCCACCCACCTCACCGTGTGACTCTAGGCAGTAAACATTTTAAAAATAAACACAATTGCAAAAATACTTCAAACTTAAGTGTTAAAAACTGAAAGTACATAGCAGCTGAGAATAATCCGCCCATCATAATTGCTAAATTAATTAAGAGTGCATGCACTCATCAAAACTTTGTTTAAATGGTGATCTGAGACATGGCTCTAAGCCTTGATCTAAACACAACACCTCACAGCACCCTAAGTTTGCATGTCCAAAATGACTGATTTTTTGCAAAATGATTCTTTCCCCCTGTCCTTCAAGACAGAAATGGAATCCTCTGCGAAGGATTAATTTTTCCCATGTTTAGTACATAACTCTTTGCGAAGTCATGTCCGACCCATCACGACCCCATGGACAACATTCCTCCAGGCCTTCCTGTCCTCTACCATCCTCTGGAATCCATTTAAGCTCACACCGACTGCTTCAGTGACTCCGTCCAGCCACCTCGTTCTCTGCTGTCCCCTTCTTCTTTTGCCCTCAATCATTCCCAGCATTAGGCTCTTCTCCAGTGAGTCCTTCCTTCGCATTAGGTGGCCAAAGTATTTGAGTTTCATCTTCAGGATCTGGCCTTCTGAAGAGCAGTCAGGGTTGATCTCCTCTAGGACTGACCGGTTTGATCGCCTTGCAGTCCAAGGGACTCGCAGGAGGCTTCTCCAGCACCAGAGTTCAAAGGCCTCAATTCTTTGGCGCTCAGCCTTTCTTTTGGTCCAACTTTCACAGCCAGACATTGCAACTGGGAAAACCATAGCCTTGACTAGACGCACTTTTTTTGGCAGGGTGATGTCTCTGCTTTTTAGTATGCTGTCTAGATTTGCCATAGCTTTCCTCTCTAGGAGCAAGCATCTTTTAATTTTTTGGCTGCAGTCCCCATCTGCGGTGATCTTGGAGCCCAGGAAAATAAAATCTGCCACTACCTCCATTCCTTCCCTATCCATTTGCCAGGAATTGAAAGGGCCGGATGCCATGAACTCTTTTCTCTCCAACCTCAAATATAACCTAAAATCACATGGCTAAATTTTGGCCACTTGGCTAACAAGCCATGTAATTTTAGTTTGTTCAGGATGGAAGATGCTTAAGGGTGGAAATTAAAGCTGAAATAGTCCCTTTCCTACTTTGCAAATCAGGAAAGGGAAGGAAGGAAGGAAGAAAGGAAGGAATTCCTTTAATGTCAGTCTTCGTCCAATGATGCCACTCATAACAGGGTTTGGGGAAAAAATTCCAACTTTATAACAATATCTTTATTTGAAGATATGTTCCATGTTTTCGAATAAGCTACATTTGGCAGAGTTCACACGATAGGGATAAACCACAATCACTGAGTCACCTGGTATGCTAAGCCAAAATCAGACAGAAGACAACTGCTTTTGTTCACATACAAAGGTTGAATACTTTTGCATGCTATATGGTACAAACTCAGCCATTTATTTTATTTATTTATTTTTTTTGTAAACCCTGTCTTCCATTATGGTTTACATCTCTCTATCCAATTTCGGTTCACTCTGAAGACCTGTTGAAGAAAAACATATCTTAATACAGCCTGGGAACTCATCCAGGGAATGAATAAAGAACAAGTAAAGTAAATCAGATTACTTGGGGATGCAATGTTAGTTTTTTGGGGGGGGGGGGGTTGGAGGGGAGAGAAAAGATTAGGCAGAAAGACGGCTTTTCAGTAGTTGTAGATGGAATAGAATTGCTGTTGGATCTTGATTCTTCACACCATGTGTTGTAACGTGCTATTGTTGCCTAACCCTACCACCAACCTTCCAGTATTTCATCACAAATTTTAACAAATGCTAAGGGTACAAAACAGTTATAGTAATGAAACACAGCCAGCCACATTTGCTTTCTGCCAAATCCATTTCACAACAGCCATTTCTTCATGCTGGATACGGATTCTCTCAACTTTATCCTCGCGTGGAGCAACCTATCCTAACAGTGTATCTCCTTTAACAAACTAAGTATTGGGAAGTTAGAAGATGAGGACTTGTTTTCGCCTTGACATCCGTAACTGAACAGCTTCACCGATGTATTTAATCTTGGGTTTATTGAATACATCAGAATTTACTGTAGTGTTGGAAGAAATATCCATCTGGCTGGGGGATTCTGGGAGTTGAAGTCCACCCATCTTCAAGCTACCAAGGTTGAGAAACACTGCTCTAAGGTATTGTAGACTCTGGGCTAGAATAGAATGGAATTGAAATAGGAATAGGAATAGAGCTGGAAGGGACCTTGGAGGTCTTCTAGTCCAGCCCCCTGCTCAAGCTGGAGAATCCATACAAACCTATAGAGGGAGATATACCCCCTTTCCTCTTCTTCTTCTGAATCTGCAGTTTGAATGGCGGATCATTATTTGCTTTCCAGCCACCAAAACCACCGCGAGCTTACCCAAAGCCCCCGACCCCATTTCCTAGGTCTGACGAACCAGTTAAAATTAAAAAAAAAAAAAAAAACTCTTCCGCCTGAAGGGGGCGCTCCTCTCGCCTTGTTTTGGGCTCGAAGTGCGCACGCGTCCGGTGGTCGGTTTCCTTTGTTTTGTTTTGGTTTTTCCCTCCTCCTTCCCTCCCTCCCTGGCTCGCGCGCGGGGGGGGGGAGGGAGGGAGGGAGGAAGAAGGAGACTGAGCGCGCGTGCGCACTTCAAGCCTCCAAACCCGGACGGGAGCCAAGACGAGGCGAAAGGCCCCGCCTTTCTCTTCCCTGTTCCCAGGGAACGGGTCCTCGCCGCGCGTGCGCATAAAAGCTCACCTTTTATTGGCCTTTCTCTCCCTCCCTCTCTCTCTCTCTCTCTGTCTCTCTCTCTCTCTCTCTCCTTGCTTCCGGCCGCAGGCTCCGCCCACCCAGCGAGGGAGGGGCCGCTGCGCAGTTCTCGGAGAGGCATCGACTGAAGCGGCTGGACTCGGCAGAGGCAGAAGCGGCCTCGGTGCGAAGGAGGCTTTCCCCTCATCGACAGCCCTCACAGCCGCCGCCTCTCACGCCCCTCACGCCGCCGCCATGGTGAAGATCGCGTTCCAGTCGCCCTTCGCCCACAAGGACGATCCCAAGAAGGAGGCGGCCGAGGCGCTGGTGGCCGAGCAGGTGAGGAGAAGGAGACGCCGCTGCTGCTGCTGAGGCGACGCCGCGACGCCATTTTGTGTCGGGGGCTACCGGCAGCCCCCCCGGCGCCTTGTCTTTCTCCCCCCCCTCCCCGCGGGGCAAAATGGCGGCGGGACCCCTCGGTGTTTCCCTCAGACGCCTCAGGGAGAGAGAGTGGGGGTGTGAGGGATGGGTTTTGTAGTCCTCCGTGTGAGACGGTGGGGGAAATGGGGGACTCCCTCCCCGACGAGGGTCTCGTGACTGGTTCGTTGACCGAAACACCACACGGAAAGTGGGGGGGGGGTTTGGGGAAAATAAATTGCATTTTTATTCGTTAAAATTCCCGCTTGGCCGGTGCAGACGTTGCATATAAGTGAGTGAAATAAACTGGATAAACGGCAATAAAATAATAAGGCTCCTCAGCCCTTTCCTTCCACCACCCCCCAGTCCGCCGGCCAATAGGGCAATGGTTCTCCCCCCCCCCTTTTTGCTGGCTGGGGAGGCAAAGCGGGTCGTGTGTATATACGCGGGCGTGCAAGACGTGCGTGCGCGCCTTGCACCGTCACGCGTGCAGCTCTGGGACGTCACGTAACGTGTGGAACCGAAGGGGCCGACACGCAACAAGGAATCCGAGAGCCGGGCCTGCGCGTATAAAGGGGGCTTCCCGTTCGAAAATGAGCGAGAATAAAAGGCCTGCCGTTGTTTGCATGGCCTGCAAAATGATTCCCCCCGTTGGGGATTCGTGGAGGCTCATTCATGTCTTTTTTTAAAGTGGTATTTAACCAAACCACCATGGCACCTTTCTTTGCTTGGGCATCTTTTCCCCCCACTTCATAGTCGTCTGTGCCTATTATTGGTGGATTTGTGTTCTGCCTGCAGGATTTAGTGGGGGAAAGGGGAAGGTGGTACTTTGGTTAGATATTTATAATACACACACACACAAACACACACACAAAGCAGACTTCAGTGTTAGTATGACTAATCCCCTATTGGTGTGAATAGAGTCACAGAGAAGAGCCTTATAAATACCATTTTCCCTGAAAATAAGACCCCGTCTTACATTTTTTTTGAACCCTGAAATAAGCACTTAGCCTTATTGCCATACGCTCAAAAGCTCGATTGGGCTTCTTATCAGGGGATGTCTTATTTTGGGGGAAACAGGGTAGAAGGACATAAATACATTTTCATTGGTAGGATATACTTCCTTCTGCCTAATTTGAGGATCTCCCTCCCTCTCTCTTAATTCTCCAGTGAACCTGCCCTGGTGGATGATGGGTGGTTGATCCTTCCAGGAAGAAGGCAGAGAAGGGCCTTTAGCTAAATGGGTGGCATATAAATTTAATAAATAAAATGGGGGAAGAGACCGGAATTGCAGGTGGAGTTTTTGTTAATTAGTTCTGGGTTGTTGTTTTTTTATGCTGAGTGGTAGCAGTTCTGCCTTGTCTAGAGGTGGGGCCTAGAGGCATTTTGGGAGATATAAATTAGGCTTGAAAGTGGTGCATTATTTTACATCATAACAGCTTCCCATTCCTTTCTAAATTAAAGTTCTTTTTTAAAAAGTAAGGCATGGAAAGGTAGGACATGGGAGAGGGGGGTAACATGTTGCCTTGAAGTGAAAATAAAGATAAAAATCTAAAATAATGAAACATGTTATGGGGAGTCGGGTATTAAATTTTTTTCTTACAAAAAGTTTTTTAAAAAACACTAATCCTTTTCATGCTTATATAGAAGTAAGTTCCTGGTTTGAAAATAGAATGAGGATACTGTGGATTTCCATCTTTCTTCCTGGTTTGTAGCATTTCCTTAACAGCTTTTTAAGATCCTAGCAATTTCATTAATGATCTCTCCATTGTAACAGCTTTAACCACTTCAAATGTTTCCAGATTATCCTTGTTCCTATTGTTTTGCAAAATGCTAATTATTTGCATGAAAGAGATAAAAAAATTTTTTACAATCAAATACTTTAGTTGACCCTATATGAGAATAACATGTGATCTTTACATTTGTTTCAAAAGGTATTTTAGGAACTATTTCACCTATTAAAAATCATTTTTAAAAAACCTATTAAAAAGTTAGCAATGGCAAGGCTGGGTTAAGATATAATCTCATTGAACATATTAATTCTCCAGGTGGGAACTATGGAAATTAGTGGTTTCTATCTTGGCCTTAGCATGTTTAAATAAATTTGAAGGCCTATATCAAAACTTGCAATTCGCTTTGAAACCTTGGTAGTGCTCCTTCAGAAATGATCGCACATGTTGAAGGATTTTGGGATGCATGCCGGTGGGGATTTTTGACCAAAATTGGAAGGAAGTTTGAAAGATTTTATAAGGCACATAACTAGCAGCACAAAGGAAGCCTAATTCTGTTCTGCTTTCTGATGGGAGAGAAGATTAGGCAAACATGCAGATTAGGCATTCTTTCTGCATGCACATGCAAAGTTCAGAACTGTCTAATCATGCATTTGGTTTGAACAGTTTAAGGAGTCTAAGATGTGCTTATTTTCAGTAGGCATGCTAGTGTATATATATAAAATCTGCAAAATTATCTGATTTCCTGTGTCTGGCTTCAAAACAACTCTTGAGTCATTCCAGTTTATAAAAAGTAACAGCTGGTTTGTTGACAGTGTACATGTTTGTGACTGATTATGTTTGGAAGTTACTCAAAACATTATTTTCATGCTGCTTGTATATACAGGACAATTTCAGGCAGTTAAAAGCGCCTGATTTGTGACAAGCATTGATGGTTTGTCCCTAATGGCTGAGATTGTATACTTGACTGATATTACATGCTGTTCTCTTTAAAATGCCATGTAAAATGTTTCTACTGCCAAGTGCACAGAAATTGCTCTGTGATGGGTGCTAAAAATTCCTTCATCTTGTCCAAATACATGCCTAAACCCATATAAGAAGTACAAATATGAAATAGTTTTACCATTGGTCCATTTTTCAGAGTGCTGGTGCACACTAACCTCATTTCACTATCTTGTAAAGTTCTGTTTAAGCTCAGGAAATTGTAAAGGTTGTGTAACATCAATTTTTAACTGCTTAAAGAGGAAAAGGTCTAGGACAGCAATTTAGCAGTCACAACTGGGTACCAAAATATAGGCTAGTGGGCTAAAGAACTGCACAGGGACTAGTTATATGTATTCACTCTGTGTGTGTGTGTGTGTGTGTGTGTGTGTGTAGATTTTAGTGAACTGGTTTTATTTTCATTGTAATACTTCAGCTTATGCAAAGTAAAATCCCTGCACCGAAGAAACTGGGCCAATTTCATAGTGGATTACAGGATGTTTTAAATCCAACCATAATATGCATAACATTCACAATAAAGGGAAGGGTTTTTTTTAGTCTCAGTCTTCATAAGCCCCATTAGATGTAGCATGATTTTTGAAAAAGAATTCCACTATTGATGATTGCCTTGTAACAGTTTTAATGAAAAAAGAAAATCATGGCTTAATATCAGATTTATATGGGATTAGTTCTAACCTTATAGATCAGGGGTGTCAAACTCTATTTCATTGAGGGCCGCATCAGGGATGTGTTAGACCTCAGGGGGCCAGGATAGGCGTGGCCAGCATGACATCACTTGTTTTTGGGGGGGGCGCCTGTGGCAGCCCAAGTGCTCTGCCAGCGAAAACAGGTTCCCAAGCTCCATTTTCAGCTGGGACAGCCTCCTGCATCCCTCCGCCAGAGAAAAAATGCACCACATGCCAGTCCTTTGCTACTTCCAGGGTGGCCTTGCGGGCCAGATCTAAGTACCCTGTAGGCCAAATCTGGCTCATGAGCCTTGCATTTGGCACCCTGTTATATAACTTTAAATATACAATGGTGTTTCAGTGTTATATATAGATCCATATTTTAAAATGGGGACATTCAACTTTTTTCAACTGGTGGGCCTCTTGGGATTTTTTTTTTAAATCCTTGATCAACTTGCCTATTTACAGAATCCCTGTTAAATCTCAATTTCAAAGCAGTATTGTCAAAATGCTGCAACTATTTGAACACTTTTTTTCAAGTTGTTTTCTTTTATTCTTTTTCTGGACAGATGTGCGCTTTCCAAACAAAACAATGGTTGAATCCTCTCATCATTTTTTTTTTTTGTTTCCTAAATGTACGGTATGTCTTGGATACGAAGATGAAACTGGAAGTTGGATCTCTGTTTTGCAGTAGGCAGATTTCCCATCTTAAAGTCATAAATTACTGCATGTAAAGTGGGATGGGCCAGACATGTTGGCAGTGCCTAGAGAGGTATCTTCAAGCACAGTAATGCCTTTGGACTTTATGTTGGCCACATCAGTCTTAAGCTG